TATTCGCCGATGAAGCAATCTGGCCTGCTGCGCTGCCTCCATATTAGTCGTAGAATACAGTTCAGGTGTGGTCAAGGACCTCTTGACATCGAATATGAAGGATCTTCTAGCGAGGCATTACTATAGCAAGATAAGAGTTGATCAGTGGTCAAATGGCGGCAAACGTGCTCAAAACATTCAACAACGCTCTGAAGCGATGGCCAGTGGAAAGCGCCACAGCGGGGATGAACAGCTTTGCAGCCTTATTTTGAACCTTAAATCCGGAAAGCTCTTGAAGGTGGTTGTTGAAAACAGAGTGCCAAAAATGGCTCCAGTAACAGAGGAAGTCAAAATTCAACTGAGATATTGCGCTAACTAACAAAACCTCGCTGATCTGAAAAGTAGAGGTACATCCCCAAAAATTGGTGGAGAATGAGTGGTATGAGAGACCACGGTAGTTACTAACGAAGGAAGACTGGTCACCCCAGCCAAGCGCTTAATGCACGCCAAGGTCTGAAGAGAAAGTACATACTGAACAATATTGCGACTTTCAAACGGAGACCAAGGAACAAGGAAAAGGGACTATTGCAGTCCAAGAGACTGATGAGTGGGACGTGCTGCTCTCGCAGATTCCAAACCAAGATCCTGGCCAAGTCAAAAAAGATAAAGAAAACGTCGGATCCATTGGGTACCGAAGAACTTGTGGAAGTTAAACGGCATTTTTGTGGAAAGAGTACAAAGAGGAATACCAAATGACATGGAAAGACCCGGGTGGAATTTAGTTGAAGAAAAGAAGACGAATCTCCTCAAATGCACTGGAAGAATTTAGAGATTCTGCCCAGTTTACCTGGAGGATGGACCAGTGATAAGATAAATCTCAACAATCAGTGATAAGAATCTCAACAATCAGCCCCTAACATACGTCGAGAGTGAGGGGGGGATGTTCACGTGGTAGCAGATACTGAGACCAATGAAGAGGAAGATCCCAAGCCACAGGCAAAGATTTCCAAAGAATGCCAGGAAACTTGCTTTTTTGCTACGCAACGGAAACAGGATTGAACGTCCACTTCAGCGTGTGAGTCCCCTCGAAATAGAAAGTTACAGCAAGTAACCGGCCGAGGTGATCGAGAGTGCAAGCCAAGATCCCATCAGGAGTGTTCCAAAGAGAAGGGGAGCTGACTATGCGAGAGGGAAAATCAGGCTGGTTGCTGATCCTGAATTTGAACTTGACTAGACTTAGCGCTCTAAATAGAGGAGATAGAGAATAAACAAATAATGAAGAACAATTTTGGGGGCAACTGGACCGGAAATTGTAAGGCGTTTTGTGACCGGAAGTGAATGGCCTAGTTGACAGATTGAGAACTATATTCGGTGAGCTTTTAATAGAAATAATTGAAAGAACTCGAGTTTCGAAAAGAGTTGTACAACGACAGAAGCGTAAAGGAATAAATCATCGATTTGCGATAAGCCGAGTGAGTTAGGGTGTACTCTCAAGTTCGATACAACCCGGAGCTTCACCTGTTATTGACCAGTTGTGACCCCGTTATAAGTTATAAGACCAGGGTGTCGGATCTTATACACTAACTTTAAAAAAAACATTTCAGAGTTTTGGTGGAAGACCTTCTGTGTTTGTCTCAGCAAAGTACACTCGTGATACAAAGTCTAACGACGCCATGTATGTTTGGTTGGAGAACGTGAATTCTGGAAGCTTCGAGGTTTGCATCCGGGAATTCTTACCATTCGACGGGAAACATCAAGACACGATTGTTGTAAGTAACACTGTCTTCGCTATTTATAATCAACCTTATATGGTGTGTAAGGAATCCGAAGACTTTACACTACGCCAAAAACGTCACCTTTTTCAAAATATCCGGCATCTTAGGCCGCCATCTTTGAGCTTAATGTTGTTGTTGCTGTATTATTTATATTGTTTCTTTAAAAACGAAGGCGCTTCGAAAATGGTTCAAAACATGAGGAAAAAAAGAAGAAGAAGAGAAATTTGGAAGAAGATTATCATAAAATCCAAACTCGCACTGAAACAGAATTTAGGCTTAAATTAAGGTACACTCAAACTTTTGGTAAGACCCATTCGGTACCAAAGAAACGATACACTACGCCACAGAGTAACGTGAATAGATTGACATGACGGCAAGCACTTCAAGCTCCTCTTTTTAGCTAAATAATGTAACCCTATCAAGACAGGGCTTTTTTGAAATCTTCCACAACTAGGACTACATGGTCGAATTCCTCCTCTTCCCCTAATGATATACTTTAAAAGATTTTTAAAATGACAAAGAAGAGAAAAATTAATAGGATAGGGTACATGATACAGTTAATGGTTTTCCTNAGCTCCGAAAATGGTTCAAAACATGAGGAAAAAAGGAAGAAGAAGAGAAATTTGGAAGAAGATTATCATAAAATCCAAACTCGCACTGAAACATAATTTAGGCTTAAATTAAGGTACACCCAAACTTTTTGGTAAGACCCCTTCGATACCAAAGAAACGATACACTACGCCACAGAGTAACGTGAATAGATTGACATGACGGCAAGCACTTCAAGCTCCTCTTTTTAGCTAAATAATGTTAACCCTATCAAGACAGGGCTTTTTTGAAATCTTCCACAACTAGGACTACATGGTCGAATTCCTCCTCTTCCCCTAATGATATACTTTAAAAGATTTTTAAAATGACAAAGAAGAGAAAAATTAATAGGATAGGGTACATGATACAGTTAATGGTTTTCCTTTAGATAATATTTGACATGATTCGATGGCAACATATTATGTGTTAGTCACGTCGTGAAACTTCAGAAATAGACTTGGAAATTTGCTATTATCTGGTAAATTGTGTTCTTCGCTTAATAACAGCACTTCACTTTTCTTCTTTTCAGGACTGGTTTGCATTCATTGACAATGGTTCGAAGTTTAATTTTACCCTGTCAGGAGATGCTATTTTTCTAAACAAAAAGGCTCCGAGAGCTGAGGACAACTACGGCTTTTGTCAAGTAAGAGTATTGGAAACTTATCAAAAATATTAGGTTACTTGAGGGAGAAATGAAAAGACCAGAACTCGGATTTTAGGGTCTCTTTATACTCTTCTAGTGGGACTAGAAGGATGATAAAAAAATATCGTAAGCTTAATGTGAAAAGAGTTGATATTAATTAGTAGCCTTTTTGTAAGTTTTTCTGTGAACTGGAAAATACAAATGCTGTATACTCGTTTGTTCATTGGGTAGTTAGTTAAACTTTGCC